GGTTTAGGGGTTTAGGGGTCCAGGGGTTTAGGGGTTAGGGTTTAAGGCTCATGGGACTTAGTAACTTGGGCTACAAGTAAGAGGTAACTGTACTTATAATTACTTAAAGCCCCAACTAAGGTACTCATAGATGTACTTATTACGTCCCACGAACCTCTAAGTCGAGGGCTGGAACTCTGCAAGACCCGAGGGCCCAAGTACCCAAATATCAAGGGCTTCAACCCGCAATCCTGGCTAAAGACGGTTTAGGGTTTATGGTTTAAGGTTTAGGGTTTAGGGTTTAGGGTTTAGGGTTTAGGTTTAGTTTAGGGTCCTGGTTTAGGGTTGAGGCGTTAAGGTTCAGGGTTCCCTAAGCCCTAATCGGTCAAACCCAAACACGCAAACGCTTAACCCTCAACTCGAACACCCTAAACCCTAAACCCTAAACCCTAAACCCTAAACCCTAAACCCTAAACCCTAAACCCTAAATCGTAAACCCTAAAAAGTTGCGCCCGCAGAAGGCTCCCAAATGAGACATGGTGTTTCGGAACGAATCGAAATCCTCCAGTAGACCGAACAGAACGTGGGACCCGCAGATGCAAGGTACATCAAGGTTACGGACGTCTCTGACCACGTCCGGAAGCTCTGCAAAATCAAAAAATGTCGATAGTAAATGAAAGGAATGCACCGACAACACACTCCTGAACGTTTACCTTGCCATTGCAACCTCTAGAAACCTAAACCCTGGCCCCTCATAATAACCTCTAAACCCTAAACCCTAAACTTAACCCCTCTGGATTCGGCCTGAAGGCATCGGTCGCACCGACCACCGGAACACCGCACTGCCTTGGGGTCTCGGGCTTATAGGGTAGAGGGCTTTGGGTTTTGTATGCAACAAAATGGCTTTGGGGTAGTCCCCAGAAACCCGGGCGGATCTAGAAAGTAGATGTTTTCATGAGAGATCCTAAAAACATCTAAAGAAACTGCCTTTTAGGAGTATACCGTCCCAAATTACGGATTCTACTTTCTAGATTTTTGCGGGGTTTGGGATTTTCCTGGAGCTTTTGGCATCTTGGCTCTCGGTTTAGGGTTTAGGGTTTAGGGTTTAGGGTTTAGGGTTTAGGGTTTAGGGTTTAGGGTTTAGGGTTTAGGCTGCAATGTCGGGATTTAAGGCATAGGGGGGCCCAGGCCCACTGTAGAATTCCCATGCATGCGTGTGCGACTCATACTGCACATCACAATCCGACCGACTAGCTGACATGACTGCACTTAGCTGAAAACGTGTGGCATTGGTGGCCTTTCGCAGGGGTGAGAACGCTAAAACCCTAATCGAAACCCGCGAGTCCTAGCCCTAAACCCCAGAACCCCCCCAAACCCCAAAATCAGAAAAAAAAAAAAAAAAAAAAA